CTGTCACCTTAAACTCGATTTTACACAGTTAGTTTTAATGCCACAAAACGCGTGTTTAGCACCAATAGGATAACAAGGAGTTTGTGGCCTGTGAGCAGTCCCATCAGTGGAATCTCTCTGTAAACAAAACAGCCAAAAAATAGCCGTTTCTGCCAACAGGAATTTGAGAACTGTATCACAGAGCAAACAATTGTGTATCTCTTCAACCAAATAGATTGGAGAATCCTTAACCGAGCAGCAGAGATCCTGAATGTAGGTGTGCAAACCAGATCAATAAATTCAATATCAAATCATGTACTGAAAGAAAAACAGAGACAGAAAAAAATTACTGGATTCAGGGAGAAGAGCAAGAAAGAAACTTAACATTCAATCAATTTTATTGCTTTGAAAACCCCTTTTGAAAAATTAAAATAAAAAAGGACACTCCACATTGGTTAATTATTTTTTGGAACTTTGTTCATTCACGGGACGTGGGTGCTGAGCCAGCATTTATTACCCCTTCCTGGTTGCCCTTCAGAAGTTACTGCTGAGCTGCCTTCTTGAACTGCTGCAGCCCATGCGATATCATGGGCCCACCATGCCCTTAGAGAGACAATTCCAGGATTTTGACCCAGCGCTAGTGAAGAAACGGTGTTATATTTCCAGCACCAGATCTGATCCCACAGCCTTCCCCACTGCAATGCCTAATGTGTGTCCCAACCCCGTGCCCTGTGCTGCCACCACCAGTTCTGACCCCCCCCCGCCCCCAGCTCCATGCCCCTGCCTCCAGACCCAACCGTCTACACCCCTCATTCCAGTTGATCAGAATGACTTGACCTGACACTTCCCCCACCCACTGCCCCCTCCTTTTACTGGACCTGATTTCTCCACCCCATCCCATTGTATCCTAAACACTAACCTTCTACACTCCACCCTGGCACTCTGGCCCAGCTAGCACCCTGAGGGGGAAAAAAAACAAAAGAACTGCAGATGCGTGATAGAGTTGTACAGCACAGAAACAGACCCTTTGGTCCAACTTGTCCATGTTGACCAGATATCCCAAATAAATCTAGTCCCATTTGCTAGCCCTCAGCCTCTAACGCTTCAGGGAAAATAGCTCCAGCCTATTCAGCTTCTCCCTATATCTGAAATATCTAAGAAAAACAGAAATTGCTGGAAAATCTCAGCAGGTCTGTGGAGAGAACTCAAAGTTAATGTTTCAGGTCCAGTCTTCTTCAGAACTGATGGCAGCTCGGCAAGGGGATGTTTTTGTACAGAAGGTGGAGTTGGGGGTGGGGGGCGGGGGGTGGGGAAGGAAGAGTAAATGATAGGTGGAATTAGAGCCCAAAGAGAGAGAAAAACAGTTGGACAGACAAAGGGGTAGATAAAGACCACCTTAGGAGAATGACTAGCTGCTAATGGGGACTATTAGTAGCTAAGAATGGCTAGTTTGTAGTAGCAGCCCACGTTGATGACAAGGCCTGGTGTGTGATGGTAGGGGTAAGCATGGGGTAATGGTGCTCAAGTTCTAAAATTGGTGAACTCAATACTAAGTTCAGAAGGATGCAGGGTTCCCAAGCGGAAAATGAGGTGTTGTTCTTCAAGATTGCACTGAGCTTCGCTTGAACACCTTTCTGCATGTAAGGACCATGTCTTTTTATTTATGTGCCTATAGAAACTATGGTCTGCAATAGGAAAGAATTGTTATTATAAACAGGTACAGCCTCCATAATTTTACAGAAAGGAATTTGGTATTTGTTGTGAGCTCAGTGTTTCTGTGACTGTGGGTTCCTGCAATGTTGCAGATGATCAGGAGCCGAGGAGCTGTTTACAAGTGAAGCTGATTGGTTCTCAGCTAACTGAGCAGGTCGGAACTGGAAACAATTTACAGAGACACAAGCAGAGTGAGAGAAAGATGCAGAAGGGTGTGCTGTTGTTCTAGCCAGCAGAAGCTACCTCTTCTCTGCAGTAAAAACAACTCAGTTGAGGAAAACCAGTCACCTGTTCGGCAGAGCTCTCTGGGATTTGTGACTTTTCAATTGGTGAATCAGAGATAGTTTCCAAGTGCAAAAACAAGGTTGCTGGAAAAGCCCAGCAGGTCTGGCAGCATCTGTGAAGGGAAAAAACAGGGTTAATGTTTCGGGTCCGGTGACCCTTCCTCAGAATAGTTCTGAGGAAGGATCACCAGACCCAAAATGTTAACCCTGTTTTCTTCTTCACAGATGCTACCAGACCTGCTGAGCTTTTCCAGCAACTTTATTTTTTGTTTCTGATTTACAGCATCCGCAGTTCTTTCGGATTTCATTTACATTTTCCAAGTGAATCAGTTACAAATTGCTGGAAGTTTCTAAAGAAAGGCAATTGATCAGCATGGACCAGGCTAGCCAAAGAAAGATCAACTCAGCATTGGAATCAGGAAGCAAAGATCACTGAACTGACTTTTCAGCTTTTCTGTGCTTCCATGAATGATCTGTTTTCCCTATACTTATTTGCGTGTGCGTTTGTGTCTGTGTGTGTGTTTGTGTGTGTGGAAGGGGGATTCGAGTTTTAGTTAGCAGGGTTACATGCCAGTGGTTTATGTATGTTTACTTGTAGCTACAGCCTTAATTACTTAAAGCAAATAGTAATTCAGAAACCTGGCCTGCAAGTCAGGTAAATTGGGGTACTGTGTGTACCTTTTAAAAAACATTTAGTATAACTCTGGGAATACGATTTACAATGTGCGACCCACCAGGGCTGTAACGCTTTCTAAATGCTGTATTGCCATTGTCTGTCCATGGCCCATCGTGCCTAAAGTGCTGTGGAGCATTAGTGAGAAATAGGGGTGGAGCAGTTGAATGCGCCAAACCTGTTTTAAGCTTGGCTTCAATCTTTGGGTCCAAAGCAGTTCGTAGGTCACTTGAGGCATCTGTGTGCTCACCCCGTCAGTGCCTAAGGGCTCTTAAACACAGGAGGTGATGTTTAGAAAAGTGGTCAGTAACAATGGATATCCTCCCAGTTGAATTATTCAGTGTGCGTTCAGGAGTGCAGAAAGTGGACAGGAAAGTGGAGTCGACCTGTAGCTGTGCCCTGGCCTTATTAAGGAGAGTGTAGGTTCAATGGGCTACACCTATTCAATCTACTTTACAATGAGGATATGTGGCTTTTTAACCTTGGATACTGTTGTGCATTTGCCTCGCTCACAGTTAAACTTCCTGTACATTTCCTTTCTTTTCGAAGCAGTCGTGCAAAATATGTTTTTGCAAGGCCCTGGTCTGCCTGAACGTTTGTACAAAAATTTGCACTGAAACACTTTGAGACACAAACCTGGAAACAATTACTAGGATGTTATTCTGCAGCTGGTCAGTGCCTCTGTTGATGCAGCAGGGAGAGGAATTTAATGTGAACGTGCTAAGCATGTGCAATGTAGCATTAGCTCATTTTGGAAGGACTTCTGAATCCTCATCTGAGATAACGACATAGAATGTAGCAGAAACCGAGCAGACTAAGTGTGTAGCTCCAACTGAGCGGGCAGTAGGGATTAAATCTGGAGCTGTGGGGAGATGTCGCAGCTAAGTGTGCAACAAGTGTTGAAAAAGCCGTAAACTTGTAAAAGCATTTAACTGTGTGTTGACTGTCAATTTGCAAAAGGGGTCCGCATGCTGTGCAAATGTAATAATTCATTGACAACTAGAATATACTTTATTCAGTTCTGGGAAGCAAATGGCAGTGTAATTTGAAGCATCTCAATTGTTTGGGGGTAAGACGGGATGCCATTTGAGATTTGATGGTGTAAGCTACATGATACATGTTACAGAAATTTAACCACAGTTGCCTGTGGCTGGTTGGGGGCTGCTGTCTATACTTCTCCAAATATCCCACTCCTCCATTTCTCAGATGATTACTCAACTTGATAACTTGGGAACACTGTACTTGGCTGAGTTACCTCCTGTCTATTTCCCAGTAAAGTTAGATCACATGAGATCTGGGGGGAGCTAGCCAATTGAGTACAACATTAGCTTGACAGTAGGAGACAAAGGGTGGTGGTAGAGGGTTGTTTTTTGGACTGGAGGCCTGTGACCAGCGGTGTTCCACTGTTGTTTATCATTTATATAAATGAATTGCGTGAGAATGTAGGAGGCATTGTTAGTAAGTCTGTGGATGACACCAAAATTGGTGGTAAAGGTGGGCAGCAAAGAAGGTTATCTAAGAGAACAACAGGATCTTGATCAGATGGGCCAATGGGCCGAACAGTGGCAGGTGGAGTTTAATGTAGATAAAGGTGAAGGTGTTGCATTTTGGTAAGGCAAGCCAGGGCAGGACTTACTTCGTTAATGGTCGGGCTCTGGGAGTGTTTTCGAACAGGTACGTAGTTCCTAGAAAGTGGTGTCAGAGGTAGACAGGTTAGTGAAGAAGGCGTTTAGCGCTCAGTCAGAGCATTGAGTGATAGGAGTTGGGATGTCATGTTGTTGCTGTACAGGAGGCCTGTTTTGAGTACTGCATATGATTCTGTTTACACTTATGTAGGAAGAATATTATTAAATTGGAAAGGGCGCAGAAAAGATTTGCAAGGATGTTACCGGGTTTAAGTTGTAAGGAGAGGCTGATAGCCTGGGACGTCTTCCCTAGAGTGTCGGAGGTTGGGGGGGTGACATTACAGAGGTTTGTAAAATCATGAGGGCATAGGTAAGGTGAATAGACAAGAGGAGGGGAATTCAAAACTAGAGGGCATAGTTTTAAGGTCAGAGGGGAAAGATTTTAAAGGGACCTGAGGGGCAACTTTTTCATACAGAGGGTGGTGCGAGTATACAATGAATTGATAGATACAGGTACAGTTAGAGCATTTCAAAAATATTTGGACAGGTACATGAATAGGAAATGTTTAGAGGGATATGGGCTAAATGCAGGCAAATGGGACTAGTTTAGTTTGGGAAACTTGGTCAGCATGGACGAGTTGGACCAAAGGGTCTGTTTCCATGCTGTGTGACTCTATGGCTCTGCCCCTGTTGCTCAGGTCACCTGAGGAGCCTTCCGAAGTTCACTACTCGAACTGCGTGATGAGGTAAAGCTGAAGGCATTAAATCATGCTTTATGTGTGATAAGGCTTGGATTACACGGATGTCCCTGCTGGTTGCATCTACATCCTATTACACACGACAGCAGTGTAGCGTGTCGTGTCATGTCTCTCAGTCAGTATGTCTGTATGCCTTTAAGAGACATGCCCGTGACATCATCACTATATCACACCATGTGACCTGAGAGTATAAAGATCTTATACTCCATCTTACCTAGAATCACTTCAAGCATGACACTCTACTGGAAGAATGCTTCTGTTTTGTAACTTCATAATAAGCCAGACTCTGCGTGCCTGAGGAATGTAATGATTTTATACAACAGTTTGTTGTCATGAATGTGTGTTGGATTCTTCAAAACTTCAATATCCACACTCAGTTTTGTACGTTGTGAGAGATAATCAGAGCCTTGCTGAATCGGATAAAGCCATCTGTGGAGGAAAAACTTACATTTTAGTACCCCTAGAGACTGTGGTGTAGTGGCAATGTGAGTAGACGGTGACATGAGTTCATATCACATCATAGCAGCTACTGGAATTCAAATTCAATGATTAGGTTTGGAATATTGCAGCACAGTGGTAGAATCTGGACCTCTGAGCCTGGAGAGCTGAGTTCAAGTCCTACCTGCTCCCGATGTGTGTAACAACATCTCTGAACAGGTTGATTAGAGAAAAAAATCTATAACGCTCATCTCAGTAAGGCTGGCACTGAAACTGTCATCAAACTGGTGTAGCCCATGTGAATCCAGACTTACAGGAATCTGGCAGGCTCAGCAATGGCCCAGGAAGCCACTCAGTTGGAGGGGAATTAAGAATAGGTAACGAATATTTAACTTGCTAGCAATGTAAAAACAAAAGGACAAGGAACAACACATTGGAAGACATCCTGTTACTTTGGGTTAACCCTTCTGGGCAAACTTGCACTTTGTAAGGTGTTGATTTGCCTCATGGTGATCAATAAACATTATGTGGTCTAGCTCAGGACCTCCTGCCTTGGCAGGCCAGTCTCTGCCGCATTTGCTGTGGAGGGAGAAAGGAGTTGGAAAGGTACATGATTCACTTGCCTGTTTTCTCTGGGCCCTGTTCTCAACCAGCTGCTTGCTTTTTCCAAATAGTCAGAGGTCATGGCTGTCAGGGGTGCTCTTCCACTTGTCAGTGTATTAATCCCATCAGGAAAACGTTAGTGGACATGGCCCATCATTGACCGATTGAAATTCGTACAAATAGTTGCGTTCATTGTCGTGTGATTTCTGACCTTGCCTCAACAGTGTAAGCCCCTCCATTTAACACGGCTGTGCAAAATCCTTAAAGCTATATCTTTAATAGAGAAGCTGAGCTCCAGCTCCACCCTCTCATATAGCAATTCTGTGAACATAAATTCTGACAACTTTTCGAAAGAATTTAGAGATCTATGTAACTTTTATACCTTCAGCCCATTCATCATAGCTTTTCCCATATTATGCAGTGCCCACTTTAATGTAACTAATGTTTAGTAACAGGGTTTAGTAATGGAGACTGTAATAACAGTGCAGAATGAATATCTTTGAGAGCGTGAGCCAAGGTGATAGATTAGACTGAAAAGTATTTGAGAAATTTTCCCAAAGAATTACAACCTTTGGAATACGGAGATCTAGAAATTGTGAATTCTACAAGTAGCAGTAATGGTTGGATTGATTGATGAATAAACAGTTCCATTTGGCTAAAGGGATGAAAGGGAACTGAGTTAGATGATTATACATGATCATACTGAATGGTAGAACAAGCTCAAAGGGCTGAATGGCCTACTCCTATTTTCTATGTTTCTAAGTACTATCATATATTTTAAATACAGTCTATGTAATATACACAATATGCATATATTTATGTGTGCATATGTCTACAGGAAAGGTCATTGTGAGTCCTGATATTGGGGTAGATACTAACTTTTTGTACTCTCCCAATGCTAATGTCCACCCAAGTTAGAGGATATAATACTGAAGATCTACTGTACTATATTGACGGTCATAAATGATTTACTGGAATAAAAGTTGGGTGCTGAAACAGTGAGTAAAAGCTCGGATGAATCATCCGAAAAGTGTTTATTACAAAGAAAGGATGAGATCTTATTTAAGTATTTCGCATACACAGGCAGTTGTAAAGCACTTCACAACCAGAGATAAGTACTGGCCGTGAAACAGGGGCATTTCTGTGCAGTGGGATCTTTTAGCAGCCTCTGCATAATGTCTCCTCTGAAACGTAGCACTGTCGACAATGCGGCATTCCACTCAAGTATCGACCTGAATTCTGTCAAGAGTGAGACTCCTGTGCAAAATCTTCTGACCAGCAGGAAAGAGAATCAGAGCTGTGCTAATCCAACAAAGCTAACCTTTCTTTTAAACTAATGTGTTGAACTGTCACTTCTGTTTCCTTTAGAAGCAGGGAGGTTGACATCAGCAAGGTCGGCCATCATATCCAGCTCCTTAGCTTGAGAACAAAACCACAGGCTTGGTTTTGTTTTTAAAAGGCTCATGATAGTGTTGCTTGGCTCATTAAGCTAGCTTTCATCCTGTGAACCCTAGAAATGGGAAGCCGTATTTCTAGAATCTGATCTTCCCTTAGTGTAAAGATGTCTTATTTTTTAATTGTGTCCGATCACAATTTTTTGACCATAAATGAACCAGTGGAGTAAAGAGATTAGCATCAAAGCAGACTTTGCTGCCACATTGGTTAGAATTCAATGAAAAGGGTAACGTTCTAATGTAAAATTCCATCCCATCTCTCAGTTTCCGATATGCCTTGGCTCTCCCACCTCAGGCACTGTCATCTGTCTTGTTGAGCCTTCACCTTGTGATATCCACCTCTTCACCCACTGTGGTCCAGATTTATTAATTATCATTTTTTATTATTCTGTTACTTGTTATTCAGGAGATGGAAGTGTCATTGACTTAGAGATCCCATGGTACAATTTCAATGACAGCTGGAAGAGTTGTTCCCAACTTTCTGGTGAACACTTCGCTCCCTGCCAACATCACTAAAATGGATTATTTGGGATAACAAGGTATAGAGCTGGATGAACACAGCAGGCCAAGCAGCATCATAGGAGCAGGAAAGCTGACGTTTCGGGCCTAGACCCTTCTTCAGAAATGGGGGAGGGGAAGGGGGTTCTGAAATAAATAGGGAGAGAGGGGGAGGCGGATAGAAGATGGATAGAGGAGAAGATAGGTGGAGAGGAGACAGACAGGTCAGAGAGGCGGGGATGGAGCCAGTAAAGGTGAGTGTAGGTGGAGAGGTAGGGAGGAGTCCAGGGAGGACGGACAGGTCAAGGGGGCGGGATGAGGTTAGTAGGTAGAGATGGGGGTGGGGCTTGAGGTGGGAGGAGGCGATAGGTGGGAGGAAGAACAGGTTAGGGAGGCGGGGATGAGCTGGGGTGGTTTTGGGATGCGGTAGGGGGAGGGTTGATTTTGAAGCTTGTGAAATCCACATTGATACCATTGGGCTGCAGGGTTCCCAAGCGGAATATGAGTTGCTGTTCCTGCAACCTTCGGGTGGCATCGTTGTGGCACTGCAGGAGGCCCAGGATGGGCATGTCGTCTGAGGAATGGGAGGGGGTGTTGAAATGGTTGGCGACTGGGAGGTGCAGTTGTTTATTGCAAACCGAGCGTAGGTGTTCTGCAAAGCGGTCCCCGAGTCTCCGCTTGGTTTCCCCGATGTAGAGGAGGCCACAACGGGTACAGCGGATGCAGTATACCACATTGGCAGATGTGCAGGTGAACATCTGCTTGATGTGGAAAGTCTTCTTGGGGCCTGGGATGGGGATGAGGGAGGAGGTGTGGGGACAGGTGTAGCACTTCCTGCGGTTGCAGGGAAAAGTGCCGGGTGTGGTGGGGCTGGAGGGGAGTATGGAGCAGACAAGGGAGTCACGGAGAGAGTGGTTTCTCTGGAAAGCAGATAAGGGTGGGGAGGGAAAGATGTCTTTGGTGGTGGGGTCGGATTGCAGATGGCAGAAGTGTCAGAGGATGATGCGTTGGATCCGGAGGTTGGTGGGGTGGTACGTGAGGACGAGGGGGATTCTTTTTTGGTTGTTATTGCGGGGACGGGGTGTGAGGGATGAGTTGCGGGAAATGTGGGAGACACGGTTGAGGGCGTTCTCGACCACTGAGGGGGGGAAGTTGTGGTCCTTGAAAAACGAGGACATCTGAGATGTACAGGAGTGGAATGCCTCATCCTGGGAGTAGTTGCGGTGGAGGCGAAGGAATTGGGAATAGGGGATGGCATTTTTACAGGAAGGTGGGTAGGAGGAGGTGTATTCTAGATAGATGTGGGAGTTGGTGGGCTTGAAATGGATATCGGTTTCTAGGTGGTTGCCAGAGATGGAGACAGAGAGGTCCAGGAAGGTGAGAGAGGTGTTAGAGATGGTCCAGGTGAACTTAAGGTTGGGGTGGAAGGTGTTGGTGAAGTGGATGAACTGTTCGAGCTCCTCGTGGGAGCACGAGGCGGCACCGATACAGTCATCAATGTAACGGAGGAAGAGGTGGGGTTTAGGGCCAGTGTAGGTGCGGAAGAGGGATTGTTCCACGTAACCTACGAAGAGGCAGGCATAGCTTGGGCCCATGCGGGTACCCATGGCCACCCCTTTTGTCTGTAGGAAGTGGGAGGAATTGAAAGAGAAGTTGTTGAGGGTGAGGACGAGTTCAGCTAAGCGGATGAGGGTGTCAGTGGAGGGGGACTGGTCGGGCCTGCGGGACAGGAAGAAGCGGAGGGCCTTTAGGCCATCTGTATGGGGAATGCAGGTGTATAGGGACTGGATGTCCATGGTAAAGATGAGGTGTTGGGGACCGGGGAATTCGAAGTTCTGGAGGAGGTGGAGGGCGTGGGTGGTGTCACGGACGTAGGTAGGGAGTTCCTGGTCCAAGGGGGAGAAAATGGAGTCAAGATAGGTGGAGATAAGTTCAGTGGGGCAGGAGCAGGCGGAGACAATGGGTCGACCAGGGCATTCAGGTTTGTGGATTTTG